GATTATACTTTATAGAAATCTTAATATTAATAAGTTTAAATTTAGAATTATAATTTATTATATTAAAGAAGAGCTTATCGATAATTACTCTAAACGCTTTTAAATTTAATTAATCTTATTCTTAAGTTATCTATTTAAGAATATCGAAATTAGATATTAGTTTATAGAATTCGAAATCGCTAGAATTATATAAAATACTTTAAAAAACGAGGTATATAGTTAAATTAATATCGAAGATAGTAGTCTATATAAATTATAATTTTACTCTTAATATATTTAAATAGATATCTCTATCTATATCTTTAATAATAAAGTTAAATCTTTATTTTATTTAAATATTAAATTTATTTAAAAATTTTAAAATCTCGAGTTTTATTATAAATTAAAAAGAGAATATATTATATTAAATATCTTATTAAGACTTTTAAACTCCGCTATTATCGAAATAGTAGCTTTTAATTAAAATATTATTAAAAAGCTCGATACTTTATATAACTACGCTTATATCGCTATTACTCTTATTAAACTAAGCTCGAAACTATATTAATAGATTCTTAATAATTATTAGAAAAACTTAGAATAATATAAGATCTCGAAAACTTTTAACTTGAATAATTAAGTTAATAAGAATATCGCTTCTCTTTCTTTTTCTCGAGATAGCGATAATCTTATATAAAAAGTCGATATATTAATTAGCGACTATACTTTTATATTAAGTCGACTCTATATATTATTCTTCTATATATAAATCTTTTTCGAAATTATTTACTTTAATTAATTCTATTATATCGAATTCGCTAAATATTATAAAAGTATATCTTATTAATAATATATACGTAGTCTTATACGCTAATTATAGAAGTATATTCGATATTATTCTTAATATTAGCTTTATGAAATATCTCGATATCTATTATATAAATCTCTATAATTTATTCTTATCTCGTCTATATTATTTTATATCTTAATAATTAATTTTATTCTCGCTTTATTAACTTCTATTAAAGACTATAACGTAATTATATTTATTATTAATAAATTTTCTAGAAGAATTATATTAATTTCTAATAAGTCGACTTTTACTATTAAGAATTAGATATATTATCTATTTCGATAACTTCGAAAGATTAATTAAGAATTATCGAAGTAAATTATTTTAAATTATAATTATAAATTTCTTAGTAAATTATAAAAAAGCTTTTTTATTAAGCTAGATATTAAATTATTATATTTAATTATTTATTATTTATAGATCGATAGATTTAATAAATATATTAATTAGACTATTAAGATCGCTATTCGCTTTTAAATATCTATATTTAATAATATTATAATCTAATTAATTATTATTTTAGCTATTTAAGTAAGCTATAATAACGCTATCTTTACTCTATTAAATAAATCTCTAAATAAAAATTTTTACGATTTCTTATTAAATTAGTTATTAGATTTAAACGTCTATAAAAAGTAATTAATATTAAAGAATATCGCTCGTCTAAAAGTATCGAATACTATCGCCTTTACTTAGATAAATTTAAAGTTTTATTACGATTAATAATATTAATCTTAGTTCTTTTATATAAGCGATTATATACTTCTACGATTATATCGCAATTATAATATTTTAGCTATTTAGCTTATTAAAAGAAAATATAATTTATAATTTATCAATTTCTTTAAGATTCTTAAATAAATTAAGCGTCTTATCTATCGATTAGATATTCTTAATAATTAAAGAATATATTCAATTTTTACTATAGTATAATTAAAGATATATTCGAATTTTTAAATCGATTTATATACTCGACTATAATCTCATCTTAATAAGTTATCTTCTATCTTTATTAAAAGCGATATTAAGATTTTTAAATTCTAAAAACTCGATTAATTTCTAAATAAGCGCGTTATCGCTAAAGAAAGAGATTTTATTATAAAATATCTTATTAAATAAAAAGAATATAGGCTATAATATAATAAGTAAATAAATATAAAGAACCTCGATAATATTTAGAAATTAGTTGAAGATTATAAGAATAAGTATATTAACGTTTATAAAATCGAGGAAGTATCTTCTAAAAGTATCGAGAAAGTATCTTCTAGAAGTATCGAGAAAGTATTTTCTAGAAGTATCGAGAAAGTATTATATTTTATATCGTAAGAAACGATAACGCCTTAACTCTTAGAAGAAACTTCGAGATCTTATTTAGAAATATCGAATTGCGATAGAAAAGCTATTTCTTTAAATTCTTATTTATTAGAATCTCTAAAAGAATCTTTAAAATCTCGCTTAGAAACGTTAAATCTTCTAGAAATAATAAATCTTTAGTCGAAATAGAGATTAATAAGAGTAAAAGTTTCGATAAGAAAGCTAGAGTTAATATCGAAAGAAATAATATTATATAGAAATAAGCGAATTACGAATACTTAAGCGTAAGAGTTTTCTTAAGAAATTCGATTTCCCGAAACTTTCTTTCTTATTTACTATCTTACTTATTAATAAGAACGTTACTTTTATTTTTTATTATTAATATCTTATTAGAGATTACTAAGAAAGATCTTCTTCTAGTAAAAGCTTTCGCTAAGTAAAGCCTTTCGCTAAGTAAGACTTAGTAAGAATTACTTACTTAGAAAGTAGTTTCTTTATTAATATAATTAATTAAGTTATATTATATTAATTAGATTATTACTTCTAGTAGAAGCTAACGAATACTAATTAAAAATAATAAAGAATCTATATCTAGTTTCTTTAAGTTAAATATCTTTATAGTAGAACTCATATTTTTTTTTTTTTTTTTTTTTTTTTTTTTTTTTTTTTTTTTTTTTTTTTTTTTTTTTTTTTTTTTTTTTTTTTTTTTTTTTTTTTTTTTTTTTTTTTTTTTTTTTTTTTTTTTTTTTTTTTTTTTTTTTTTTTTTTTTTTTTTTTTTTTTTTTTTTTTTTTTTTTTTTTTTTTTTTTTTTTTTTTTTTTTTTTTTTTTTTTTTTTTTTTTTTTTTTTTTTTTTTTTTTAATACCTAATTAACTCATCTTCTAACATAAATCACAAGACATACAATAATTTTTTCCCACTACACCATTCTTGCAAGCTTATTCCGAGAAACGCTTGATTTTAACTTGTTAACCTGTCGTCTGAAGACCAGTCATCGAATGATAATTGCGCTCCAAACTCCTCCACCTGCGTGCTACCCCTCTTTCACGCAAGCTCGATGTGCAGCTCGCTGCATTGGCAACCCTCGAGAATTGCTATGCCGGCTGCTTACAGATACCGAAGGGCCTTCAGCATCTTTTGTCGATCCACCACGCGACCCTCAGCTGAGCTCCAGCCATTTCTGTTCCGTGTCCTGGAACAAGTCTCCGGTCAAGGTGAAGCGGTGCGAACTCCGCGCTCCAGTGAAAGTCGAACCCTCATTACTATCGTTGGAAGCCCGGCGGTTTTGTTCGAGGATCTGGTTAAAGCCAAGCTAGGTTGCAGCCAAGATAGTTACTTCACGAACGCCTCGGACCAGAAGTCCCAGCTTCTTGGTCGCTCGACCTGTGGCAACTGCAGTAGCCTGTCAGTTTAACTACTCCTATTTCAAAGCTTGGGTGCTTTTCAGCTATAATAGCCATCAGAGGCTACATGAAGCCTTTCCAAGCTTTACAGCCATACTGAAAAGCAAGGAAGCCCCAATAGTCAGTGTCACCGGCAGAAGGATTTCACTTGTCGATTTTTCTCTGTCATCCAGAGTCCAAAAAACTCGATGATTGATACAGTAGCGCAAAGACCGAGAGTCGCGGTTTAGCAGCAACGGACCACGGCGAAAGATCAACAAGGCGTTGCTGAAGCTTGATGAAAGCGCCCACTTTCAGAAAAGGAAGAGATGATGAAAAGGTCAACTGCCGGGAAGAGGCGTCTGAAGGGATGCTCCAGAACAATGCCTTTAATGCTTGCCGTACATGTACATGGCTCAAACTCCGCGCAATGATGCATCTTCGCCATCTCCTACACCGTAGCACCTACAAATCCCTCTCAATCCATAGTAACCACAGCCCCGAGGCCTTTCATCGTCTCAATGATCTTCTCCGACTCGTCCTTCGGTACTCCCTCCTTCATCTGCTTCGGCGCACTCTCCACAAATTTCTTACTATCCACCAAACTCAGGCCCAGCATGCTCTTGATCTCTTTGATAACTTTCGGCTTTGCCGCCGCATCGAACGACTTGAGTGTGAGGGCGAACAGGGTCTTTTCTTGCGCGGCTGGGGCGGCTTCTTCTTCTTCGACGGGTGCAGCGGCTGCAGGCGCTGCAGCGGCGGAGAACCCACCCATGGGCATGTCGGGGATGTTGAGGCGAGACTGAGAACAGCGAGACAGCGTTAGCTTTCGGATTGTGGGAGCTCGGAGGAGGAGTAGGTGCGTGCAAATCTCCGGCTAAAATGCGAGGTAACTGACCTTGAGGTTGGAAACGAGATCTGCAGTCTCCAGTAAAGTCAATTGACTTATTTGGTCGACTATGGAAGACACCTTAGGATTCGTAGATGCTGCTGCTGCTGTGGATTCCCATCGCCGCGATGGCACTCTTCGTTGGCGTTGTGAGGCCACTGAAGAGGCGGGACATGGTGGTCTTGGTCTTGAAGAGTTGCGTAGTGCCCGCGCGCAGCAGCGTGCAGTAGATGTAGAGGAGAGGGACATCGTCAATCAGTGCAATGGTTAGATGTCGCGGAGATTTTGTCAAAGCTTTTGGTCCACTGATTCTTTACATTTCACTAGCGCGATCTCGGTTGAACATCGGTCAATGAACTAACAGTTCACCTTGAAATTACTGCTTTGCGATTCAAGCATTTGTACGTTATGGAGCTCTATCTATCAAAGCAGGAGTATGAGATCATACAGCTTGCAGTCATTGCATGGGGTGCGTTCCACTGTTGGGACAGTTTGGCCAACTTTTCGCATAAGTATCCAAACACCAGAGCCCTCATCCGTGATTTCCTGAACGGAGAACGAGAGGAGCCCCCTCCTCAGCATAATGCTCAGCCTGCAGACCAAAACGCCCAGAGACGGCACCCTTGAATCCTCACAGCAGCATCCTATCAAAGAAAATATGGCGCAAAAATCCGAAAAGACCCAACCACCAGCCATCAATGCCCCCACCAAAGAGCTCGAAAAGGCATTGGAGTTACTCAGAGCAAAGGATGATACCTCCCGTTTTGTTGGGCTGGCCCTATTGAAGCCTGTTCTTGAACAGGAACTCAGCCAACAAGGTGGCACAGAAGAGGAGGGCACACGTACAGTGATAGAACAATGCTGGCGTGCAGTACCCGTAAAGTTCCTGGATCGACTCTTGAAAACCAAGCTGGAAAGCAAGAGAACAAGAGAAGAAGTCGGCAGCATGGTTGGGTTGGCGGTGGCAGTACTACACGCCTTCATGACGATTATGGACGCTCCAGAGAAGGACGACCGGTTTGTTGGCCGAGTGCCACTGCTGATGTCTGTTTTGCGCTCCACTCCTCCAGAAACTGCCACCCAGATCATGGAAATACTCGCTACGTTGGCAACTACAAGGGAAGGATCGCAAGCCGTCTTCGGTGCCAGAGACAAAGACGAGAAGACGGACCAGAAGCCAAAGTCCTACATATTCGTCACAGTGCTACTGATCGATATTCGCTCCACCATCCCATCTCTGCAAGAAAGGCTACATTCTGCCAAGTACCCTGATATCTCAGAGCGTATAGCTAGAGCCTACGACATAATCTCCGCCTTTATCGGCTTCCTAGTGCAGAGTCTTGAGGCTTTAGACAATGACGATGAAGATGAGGGATCTGGTACCGGATTCCCAGCCCCAATGCCCGGCGACCTCCTCATGAAGCTTCGAGCGAACATCTCAGAAGTAATGTCTCTGACTATCGAACATCTCCGCGACCGCTATGACTCCTCCACGGCGGGCGCGGCTGGCCTGCATCCCTCCGCTCGCACTCTTGGTGAAGGATCAGCCAGTCCCCTTCCAATAGCTTGGGATACATCAAGTGGAATATCGGAAGACCCGTTAACCCTCTCACAGCTTCGTGCATTGTCTCTGTGGCTCCGCGAGGAAGAGAACGACGCCCTTCGCCAAGAAGCTTCCGGTATAATGGATGTCTTCCTTGCCCTGTACCAAGATATATCTGGTCAAGACTTCCGCTATCCTGTCTTGTTATCTCTCGAAGGCATTAGCGAAATCGCCGAAGGCGTCGAAGCTTTTCTCCGCGAAGAAGGCTGGGCCATCCTCACTGCTGACCTAGAAAACAACATACTCCCCATTCCCTCGGAGCACCCACGCGGCATCGAGATTATTCGCGTACTGTTGGCAGTCGTTGAAGCCGATGTCACTGGCCCCGCGAAGGAGGAATGGATGCCTATTGTCGAAGTAGCTCGCCAATCCGTCGTACACGCAGCCGACACGACGAACCTTGAGCTGGGTGTAGCGATCTGTCAGCTCGCGGTAGAGCTCATGGTCCGGGCACCTCGGGGCATCAGGAATCGGAGAAGGAGTGCCGTCGTGGAGTTGCAGAAATATGCGGAAGCACTATTAGCGAAGGTGGATGGTGCGAGCGGCGGGGTCAGGGATGGTCTAGAGGAAGTGGTGCAGGGGTTGAACAGTCTGAGCCTCTGATGCGGGTTAGCGATATCCCCGCCTGTCGCTTCAAGCGGGTCTCCCGCCAGGGTTTTCCAGCTAGCTATCAGAAGCGTGGGTTGAACGGTCTTGCTTTTTAGGCGAGCGTTTCGCTCATTGACGACGCTGTCAGCTAATGCATCGAAGAGCGAGAGATACCGAGCTCCTTCCGAGGAACCATGTTCATAAAAGTGGGAGAAGATGCTTGAAGTTGAATGAATGGAATTCTTGGGCCAACTCGCATGTTTTGATTGGAGAGCCGGCTGTAGCCCTGTCTACCCGCTTTCGCGCCTACTTTAAAGTCACGTGTCTAGGCGATGAGACATGAACCTGCGACACGCGTTTCTCACTACTTACTCATCAAAATCACCAACACCAAATCAGATTTTATCGAGTCTATACTCCCATCGCCATGTCCAATCCAGAAACCAGAGGTGGGCTCACCAAGGTCATGATAGAGAAAGCGTTATGGAACTGCTGCGTCTCCCTTTCATTGAACGAAATAATGCCAAATCTCTATCTCGGCGGGTAAGCATCTTTCACACTGTTCCAGGCAGCTATATGCGAAATGCCATGGTTCAAGTGCCTTACATGTCCCTAGCTATCTGGCAGCCTCAAACATTGACTCCCTCCGCTCCACCGACATAACCTTCGTGCTCACAATAATGAGCTCCGACCTGTCGGCCCCAACTCTCCAAGAGCATTTAGAGCTGGGCATCGTGACGGCGCGATTCAACAAAGATGACAAACCGGCCGAAGATCTTCTCTCCATTTTTGGCTCAACGTGCGATCTGATTGAGGAGAAGAGGGCGGAGGGAAAGAAGGTACTCGTACATTGCAGGATGGGGATTAGTCGAAGTGTAACTTTGGTGATGGCTTATAGTATGTCTCCATCTCCGTGTTCACTTCGAAGTACGCGAATGTATGCGCCACGATCGATGACGCTGACTGGCTTGATCCCCATCGTAGTAATGCGGGCGTGGGGCGTGGGATTCCCTGAAGCGCAGCTCTTCGTAAAAGGGAAGAGACCGATGGCGAGCCCAAATCGCGGCTTTTGTGAACAGCTTAGGGTGTGGCACGCGTGCGAGTATGGTGTTGAACAGATCGTAGAGGGAGAGAGGAGAGACAAGGAGCCGTATGCAGAGTGGAAGAGAAGCATGGGTATTGTAGCCGCGGAGGGATCATAAAATAATTGACGTTTGCTCATCGGCGATGGGTCCAAGCATCACGCCATCATTTGATGTTGCTGATCGTACGGCTCCATACCCTTCCTGATCTCCTCCACGATTTCTGCAGCATCGACGGTGCTCTGCGCCTCGAAATCATAACGTTTCGTATCGTCTTTTTCTCTTATGATAATCACCTGGAGAGTTATGGAACGTCAGCAAGTCGGATTTCGCATTGTCAGAGTGAGGCGCTGACCTACCCGGAATGTCTTCGGATGCCTTCTGCTGACTTTACACCCTACAATCATACTGAATGGCACCCGACTTGTCTTTACGCTGCTATCAAACAAAGTCTTCCCCGTCTCTCCGGGTAAGATATGCATGTAATCTTCGTCCATCAGCAGCACTCGTTGATGCGAAGGCGCGAAAGACATAGGTTGTTTCCTAATGACATTGTACTTCTTGTACTTAGCGGTACTGTTCAGAATTTCAGAGTTTTGGGCCAGCGGATGCATTAGTTTCCCCTTCCTTTGGCCCTTCGTTGCACTTTCCTCTGCCAGAATCAAGGGTGCGTTAGGCGAGCTACTGCCCGGCGACCCTCCGAGACCGAGAGCGCCATCGTTTGCGAAACGTCTGCGTACTAGATCGAGATCTGTGCGAGCGCCGAGAGATTCAACTGTTCGATCTACGGGGGCGATAGTATTGGTGCCGGATACTTTCAAGATTTGGTAGGACTTGTCGAGTTTCCATCTCTTACAGACGATATCTAAGACCTCGGCGAGGTATGTGTCTGTGGTCACCTCGATGGTACTGATTTGGCTGAAGGCTTCGAGACTTGTGAAGTGGATCTTGAGCATCTTTGGTGGACCCATCCGTGGTGTTGAGTGAATTGCAGGAAGGGCTGGCTTGTCTGCTGGCGCTGGCGCTGGTTTCCGAGGTGCTGTCGCAGCAAGGGCTGCTTCTTTTCTCTCAGTCTGACTCTGGCGCTGCGAACCCGCTTCGGGTGCCTCCACTTTCGTTGCTTCTAGCAATTTGTCGAATTTGGGAGTGAGCTTCTTGTTTTCCTGTATCTGAGCTTGAGTAGCCTCTACCAGAGCAAACTCATCATATGGCTTCTCTCTAGACCTTCCTCGAGGACCACGATTGTTGTTCGAGGTGAAAGCGACAATGGGCTGCGTTCGGTTCAAAGGAGGGAAGTCATATTCGACTTCTCCATCTTCGACCATTCGTAATACCCAAAGATTAACGCTGAGCCTAGATTCGTCGATAGGGGGTTTCAGGCCTTCTTCGCGATATCTCCATAAGCTCAATCCAATCGCATCTGCCACGGTGACTAATGGGATTTCACCGGAGTCCGTAGCTTGCACATTCTTCAGCAAGGGCATTTCAAATGGTTTGTCCGGTGATTCTGAGAAAGGTGCATATATTCGGATATTGAGAGGGTCCAAAGCTCCTTTACCAGATAGCCTGGCAAATGCCTCCACAGGGTTCTTGGGCTTGGATTTCCCGGCTCTCAAGGCTTGTCCCAGAAGACTAACGGGTTGGAGGGTACTGATGGGCCGCGCTGGAGGTAGCGGATGAAGAAGAGACGATGGTGCGTTCTTCAGCTTGCTTGGAGACTCCTTGTTAACGTTCAATGGTGGCGGCATATCAGTCAATGAGGAAGCAGCAATGTCATCTAAGAGCGACTCTGAGTCGGCGGTTTCTGCAAATTCCGAAGAGAGATCGCTTCTATCTGACTCTGCTTCCGAATCTTCATTGATCGTGGTGGTCAAGTTGCGCATTTGCTGCCGCTCATCCTCCTTGTGCTTCTCAGTCAGAAGGCTACCGGCTTTGGCTGCCTTGACAGGATTAGTCTGTTTGCGCCTTGCTCCGAAAATTGAAGGATCGAGCTCGTTCTCGGACGACATCTCACTGCTTGTGGTCGTGTCCCTCCTAGCCCTTTGCTTCACGGCCTCAACGCATGTTAGAGACCCGCTCCGTAATCTACCCTCGTTTGATCGCCTGGATGGTGATGTGATGAGGACCTCAACTCCATCTGTCGCAAAAGAGCTGCGGATGGGCGACGACCCTGATCGATTCCTCACAGGCATCTTTGCAAACTTGATTTGCTGTGCGGCCCTTCAGATTGTAATTAGTCCTGAAGCGTTGAGAGTAAGAAGACAAATTCTTTACCGTCTACTGCCTTCAGTGTCTTCGTCGCTCTCGTCGCTCAGATCACTGCTATCATCTTCGTCATGTTGTTCACGAAGCCGTCTTCTCTTGACGTTTGGGCCTGGGCCAACTGTTTCAGTACTCCCTCGTCCCGTCACCATACCGCCTTCCTCTTCCTCATCGTCGAACCCCGCGGGAGCAATGCCGGCAGATCTGGGAGGAGCAGCGAAATAGTCAGATGAAATGGTAGTTGGGATTGGCGGAGAATACGTCCGCTTGATGTCCGCGATGTTGGCAGTCCACCCTGCCGCACGGAAGCTGGGATCATTAAGAACACTAGAGTCGACATTGATGAGACGCTCGCCAATGCCATCCTTGTTATGGGTCAAGTATGATGTTCGGAGCTGCCAAATAAGGAAGCTATTCTATAGTCAGAATTAAGAGCTTTCCAAACGCAGTCCATTGCTCATGGGACCGATTCTAGAGTAGGTACGACTCGACCGGAGACTTGTTTCCCCGCTTCATCCTGCAATCATAGTACAGGACATACATACTCTTCGTTCTGTAGCAGAGCCATCTGAGTAAACATTACACTTCTGGCTACTTGACTCTAGAGGCGTCCATCTCCCACTCCTGGAAGGGAGTTCGCATCACTTTGGCGCAAATTGATGATCCTGTTTACTTTATGCAATGCAGGTACTTTATGAATGAGACAAAGCGCGGCAAGCGGGTAATTTACCGCCTTCGCGCGGGATGCCAAAACATCTACTTATCGAGATCCCAACCACCGAGAAGGACATCGAAGAAAGGCTGACAATGGCTCTCGTTGACTACTCCGGGTCCGAATCCGACTCAGAAAAGGAAGAAAAAGGCACAATTCCAGAACCTCCCAAACCTAAGCCGACCTCCAACAAGCTTGCCTTCCAAAAGGTCGTCAACCGCTCGAACCCTCACAAGATCAAAGTCAGCCTCCCGGAACCAGCAAAAGCGACGACAGAGGATGGAGATCTGGAATCAGGACCCCCCGCAAAGCGAGCCAAGATTAGCTCAGGGGGAATGAGCGGATTCAACTCCTTCCTTCCTGCGCCCAAGCGCACGGCAGCACCAAGTGAAACATCTGGAATCGGGGGTATAAGGAGAGGTGGACTAGGTAGTGGTGTCAGTCTTAAGACAGGAGCTGCACCAGGTTTCAGCAGAGAACCTGCACCAAGCGTGGAGGAAGGCTCAGACTGGAATGGAGGTACCGAAGGCCGATCAGAGGAAGAGAGCCAAGGGCATAGCAGGCATGCGGAAACGATCATATCACCGGCAGTAAATCTACCTGATATACCGATTCCAGGAAATGGTGTGGAACTGAAGAAGAAGTCCACGATGTTCAAGCCGTTATCCGTTGCCAACAAGAAGCCTCAGAGGAAGAAAGCTCTGCCTGTGGCTAGCCGAGGTGCAGCGGGGTCTACAGAGGGAGGAACGACAAAGCAAGTAAAAGCAACCCCCAAAGTGTCATTGTTCTCAGCTGGAGACGAGGTACATGAATCCTCGAGTAATGGGTTGGCAACCAAAGGAACATATCAGCCCATGGTATACCACGCGGACAGCCCAACAATCACGCCCGCTACAAATCCGTACACTGAAGAACCCACCATTGCACAAAACTACACTGCCGCCGAAACCACATACTTACCCGACCAAACCACGCGACCGCAACCCCAATCCCTCTCTGCAATAGCCACCGACCTGAACCTCTCGGCCTCCGCCAAACGCCAACTCCTCGGCCGGCACCACAATACCAACAAAACCCATCCCTCCCAGCCCTCCAACATACCCAACATTGTGAACTTCAACACCGACGAAGAATACGCGGCCAACGAATTGCTCCGGCAAGCAGGCGAGACTGTCCAACACAACCCCGTGCGAGGCATCGCTCCGGGCAAACATAGTTTGAAGCAGTTGGTGAATGCGGCTAGCAACCAGAAGGATGCGCTGGAGGAGCAGTTTGCGAGTGGGAGGAGGAATAAGAAGGAGGCGGGGAGCAAATATGGTTGGTGACGAGGAGGAGAAGGAGGAGAAGGAGGGATATTAAAGGGTGAAGGTCTTTGCATGAGGAGAGCAAGACCATGGGAAGACGGATAGGGGTGATGTACATATCCTTACGATTTTACGGGTGACGAAAGCGTAGATACCATCCATATAATCGCGATGACTCATTCAAAAAATTTGCCAGGTCCCAGAGACGAGCGCACATAGACAGTATACTACTACTACCATTCCAAAAGCTAGCCCACCCCACACATCTTGAGCATACAGACCACCCGGCAGCCTTGTAGACATCCGAACTTCTCCTTCAACTAAGATCAAGACCAAAAGCAAATGTCAAAGGGGTCGCCTATCTCGCCTGTGAGCCGATCTACTCTACCCTCTTGGGCAATGTGCGGCCTCGACCAGAACAGCATCAAGAGAACCAATGATGACAGCAAAGATGTATTGATGAAAACAATGTCATTGGATCTATCTATAGTAGTGTATCCCAACACTGGTGGAGTCAATCCATCAAAATAACCAATTCCACCAATTCCGATGCAAACGCATAGTGCGATCCAACTCCAACGTCGATCCATAATGCAGTCCATGCTGTGATGCAACCCCAACGCTGATCCGTAAATCAATCCAATCGCCAATGCAATACCACTGCGAATGCCGATGTTAATCTCGAACCTGTCAATGCTGATCAATGACCGCTGATACCCAAACCTTCGCTCGTACCATCCACCACATCCACCACTGCCACTGCCCTGATCGTTTCCCTGTCGCTGGAGCTGTCTGAAGTCAGACGTTAGCAACAGTAAGCACAAAATCGACAGCGGTGACAAGCATACCGTCGCCCATCCCATACGCTGTTGCCACAATGCCACCACCCTAATCAATTCTCTGTCGCTAGAGATTCTGGATTAGACGTTAGGAATGGTAAGTAAAGAGTCGACAGCCCTGAAAAGCATACCGTCTGCCATCCCACCATTCTCCTAGTTAAAGTCATCCCAGTCCCTCTCATTTATCAGCTTGTCGAAGATGTTCTCGGTCTCGGTGACCGAGCTGGTGGTGTTGTTGTCCTCGAACGGTCCTAGAGTCGCTGGCGCTGGGAACTGGTACTGAGCCCCAGTACCCAGATTTCGGTTGATGGTCGAGTATGGTCGTAGCCTCGGAAAGTTGTTGTCAGCATCGGTAACGGAGCTTGAGGCATTGTATGGTTGTGAAGTTGCAGGTGCCTGGAGTTGGTGACGTCCATATTCGGTTGTAGTCCTTGGGGGTTGAGTCGGGTCACTGTATGCTGACATGCCTCCGGGATAAGGGCTGGACGACGGGTAGGGACGGCTGCTGTTGCCGTTGCCGAAGGCGAAGATACCGCTGCCGAAGGCGTGGTTAGGCACGGGCGGTGGTGGGTACTGAGAACCATGGCTATGGTTAGGCTCTCCAAAATCACCCTGGTTGGCGTAAGATGAATTAGGTGGAGGAGAATAGGTCATCGCCATGGGTCTCATGAAGTCTTCTGGGGCGGTTGAGGTGGCGCCGTAGATTTCCAGTTCTTCCCTGGCTCGAGCCTTTATGGAGTACCAGGTTCCGGTCTCATTGTCCCAGCCGCGGTCGTCATCATTGAGGGAGTCGGAAAAGGATGTTGACTGTGCGTATCCGAGAGGGTATGTGTACGTCGTCTGGGCCTCTGTTGGAGTTGTTGGGGCCATGACGAGAGCAGTGCCGATCATGATTGGAACTGGTGTTTGTGGGGTTCCGCTCTCGATCGAGCTGCTATTGCTATCTGGCGTAGACGGATACGCGTTGTGGGCTCCGCGGGGGTACTTGTTCTTCGCTCCTAATGGCCTTCCTCTTTTCTTAGACATCTATTTGTTGGCTATTAGCATGAAGGCTCATTTGGAAACAAGCGACAATCTGATGTTACATACCTTTGGCAGACCATGGTCAGGACCCTTTGGCTTGTTCTTGGCTCCTGGAGGTCTTCCCTTGGGCATCCCTGTCCACCCTCTGCCGCGTTTGGGTGGTTTCTGGGGGCTCTGGGGGTTCTGTGCTGATGTTTGGGGGTTGTCGGTCTGGAAAACAAGTCAATTTCCAAGTCGTTGATCACTGCATGACAGAAGAGTTGAAAGAATTACAATTTGATGCTGCGCTGATGAGACACTTTGAGGTGAAATGGACGGCCTGGAAGCACTCATGCCCTGAAACTTTATATCAGCTTTTGGACCCCAATGGAAAGATTGCAATGCGAGACTTACTGCTGGATTATAACCTTGTAAGGATAAAGGCTGGTTATTCGTGGGATGTCTGGTCGACTCTTCGTTGTTCACTTCCCTCAGTGAGACTGTCTGGCGTTGATTGAAGTAGCTGGAGTGCTCCTTCCCGAGGAATTGGGTCGAGGAATCCTGGGCATCTGAGGTCGAACCCATTTTCCACATCTTGCTGGCTGCTGTTTGTTACTATTGGTTGTCTTAGTGCTGGTAGACGTGATGTGAGTGAAGAGGAGAGCTTCTTGCAAAGGTATGCTATGAAGTTATATGGCGAGGAAGAGTATGAGTGGGAGTGTGTAAAGAGAAAGGGAGAGAGCCCTGTCTTCTGCCTTTTATGCCCTCTCCGTTCAGAGGCTTGATCGGTAAAACCCATCTGAAAATTTGATAGCCCGGCTCATATTGTTATGAAAATTTATATTTTTACTTGACTCAGGGGCTAGCCAGTCTTGGCGACAGCCTCTTCTTCCTTGGCCTTCTCCAAGAACCGGATATCAGAAACTTCTACGTCCCAATGGCCTTGGTGACTCAGGTATCTTGCTCACGTATTTTGCTCAAAACGAAGGAAGGTTTCAGCTAAGGACCTAAACCACTCTTCACATCAGTAACAGGGTAGTCCGCAGTCTGGCCGCCGACATGCCTAGGTAACAGGGAGAATTTTCCACGAATGTAGATCTATTGATAGAGTCAATCTGAATAAGAAAATCAGTATGAGAAGCCGCCTAGTAGTTGTGGATCCATGGGAAGACAATGCGTGTTGCTCAAAGATAATGCTTGTCATACAACCTCTATCGTGCCTGCCGTAAAAAATCGTACACCTCTCACCCACTTTCCACAACCTCAGCGAACCATTGCCTCAAAGCTTGGGCAAGTACACCGGGTAAATCTCTCACATCACCCACTACGAGGTAATACGCGAAAGGGAACCCATCTAGATACCGCTTAATCTTCAATTTGGTCTCCCCTATGACATCGGGCTCAAAAACCGCCTGTTTCATATCTATAATCGACTCTCCCTTCAACAACGCGTCCACAATTACGAATACGATCATAATGCGCTCTTCTTGAGCTTGGCGGACCAGGCGTCGTATCGTGTCATGATCTTCGCAGACGCCATCGCTGATTATGAGTTCGAGTTGCCAGAGTTCGGCGCCAGCGTTGAAAACTTTACGTCTTGCCTCGCGGAAGAGGGTGATCGAGTCAGCGACGAGCTTTCTTACGTTAGTCTTTGTTTGCTGAAAACCAAAATGTTGAAAAATCTGAGCGCCGGCTTCGGAGGAGAAGGGTTTGTCAAATTCATGGGCCACAAGAACTTCGTTTCCAAAGCCAAGAACGCATATATCGCCGACTTCTAGCATGCTCAGGCTTTGAGAGACGAGCGCAAGTGTTTCGAAGGCTAATTGGCCGCTTCCACTTTCACCCATAGATTTACTGTCATCGACGGCGAGCATGATCTGATAGTTGCGTTTTGATGGGGTGGAACGACGCATCCATATCTTGTCCCGCTTGTATTGGGAGGCGATATAGGGAATTATACGCTTGATGTTGAGGCGCTTGCCGGTGCGGAAGTCTCCGCGCATTTTGGTGGCAAGAGTGGGCGCGAGGATTAGCCGCAACTGTTCTGTAAGGGAAAGAGACAGATCGCGTGTGAGACTCTCGTAGTGTGACCAAAGGCGGCGAGCATCCTCTGCAGAGCGTTGTGATGCCTCAAAAGCAGGCTGAAGATGAGTGTTTGAGAGATCATTGTCAAGTACATCAACGTCTTCTTCCTTTTCGAAGGTCTCTGTGCCAGGCTGATCACTTGGCTGGCCGCAGTCGTTCCTGCTTGCGACAAAAGCTCCCATTCCGGATTGCTCCTGCGGCTTGTGTGCCTCCGGTTGTGTTGGATACCCCTCCATCCTCTCAATGTGCTCGATGGCATCCTCCTCATCTGTCTCGTCTGGAGGGAAAGCACGGGGCTCGTGGTGCATTTCTGAATCCATAGCTTTCTTGTCTAGAGCCCGTACCTGATCATCCGAAGCAGTACCCAAAGCTTGCGTGTCTGCTTCAGCTGCTTCATCATGGAGATGTTCGAATTCTTGATTTGCCATGTCTACGTCAGTCTGAGGCGGAGCATTCGCTTCTTCCTCAGGAGCCTCTTGAATCTGCCTATTGTGCCGATGCCACTTTTCGAGAGCATCCCCAAGTTTCTTGAAGGCCTGACCACCGCTGCTTTCGTTTCGGTTGTCGTCTTCTGTTTGACCACCTTCCGTCCTATCCACTCCTCCCAGCTGGCCATCTTCCGTCGCAGCCTGAGGCTCGTCAGTGCTTGTGGCGTTTCCCTGGACACCATCTTTGCCTTGTGCCTTGTTTTCTCTCATTTGGTCATCAGTGTCGTTCTGGTCAGCATCTTCCCCGAGACCTATAGCATCGCTAGGCGCAGGATTTTGTTGGTCCACGTTTTGATTGTCCGTTCTGTCGTAGAGGAATCCGGGATCATCTGCTGGCTCCTCATCGTCCGGTTCCGTGTCGACAGGAGACCCAGCTTCTTCAATTCCACCAACATCGACATCATCATCGTCCTTGGCGTTGTCCCCTGGCTGGTTTCGAGCGTCCGCATCAACTCTCACGTTTTCCTCAGACTCATTATCTTGGCTGCTCTCAGATAAGCCATCGGCTTCCTTCTCCTCGCCATCTTCTTGTTCGATATCAGACATACCCTCCATGTCGCTGTCCCCAGACACTGACTCCCCGTCTGTCCTATCAACATTTTCCAAATCCATTTCCTCAGGTAAGTCTAGGTTCTGGCCTTCTTGAACATGCGGATCGGTTTTCTCTGTCTCTTGTATTGCAACCTCTTCTGCCTCTTCTAGGCCGGTCTGGCTGGCTTGATCGTCTTCTTCTTCTCCCTCTTCCATTTGGGCGCTCTCTCGTTGTTCGGTAGCGTCATCAGCAACCTGCTCATCTTTGTCGGCTTTCCCTTTGGCTCTCGGCCCCTCCCTCTCTTTGTCTGTGTCTTCAGCTTTCCCGTCCCAAAGCTTTTCGTCTACAGCTGAGGGATCGAGGTTGTCTATACCTCCTGTCTCCTCATCAATATCGTTTTCTTCGCCCCCGCTTGCCGACCCGTCGTCCTCGCCTTTATTGGAGACATCTCCCATTTCACCCTCCAATTCATCGTGATCCATATCCACTGCGTCCTCTTGATCTTCAATCTCCTCCTTCTCTTTATCGTTTGCCTTGCCTTGCGCGAGTTCGGACAGATCCTCGTCATCTTGAATGTCCTTGCTGATATCTTCTGCGCCCTCGCCCTCCCCAAGACCAGTGCCACCTTCAAGCTTGTCGGTCTTGCCAGCTTCTGTGACTGAGTTCTCGGCTGGGCTACAGAAGCCTTCTTGGACGATTTGCGAGAAGGAATGCGCTAGTTGATCGGACAGCTTACATAATGCTTGATGAAGTTCAGCATATCGATTGAACGAGGTTTGCAAAATGCTGCGGAATTGTTGGACGATAGGCAATGCCAATGCAAACAGCGCACTTGCAGCGAGAATATCGCCATCATTCGCAGCGCTCAGGTACTGTATTTGATCCATGGCTTCTCGAAGCAGGCCACTGACCTCGCGGGAATATAGGTTTTTGAGGCTGGCCGCTAACGAGGAGTCAGTACGTGTTAGCCATGTAGCGTCCTCGATCGAGGAAGGGAGGGTCGAGGAGATTTCCTGCATTCGCTGCATCGCTACTAAAATCGAACTCGACGCGTTTGAGATGCTATTATCCAGATCCACGAGACTGGTAAGATGCTCACCGTCCCTCTGCAGAATATCGGAGGCAACGTCTGAACTAGTCCATTGTGCAATTTGCTTTAGCACAAAAGCTAAGCCAGGATTGTGGTCAATCAACTTTTGCAGGTTGGTCCTGAAGTCTTTCAGGAGTACTACTGCCTTATGGTGAGTTTCCTCATGTCGTGAAGAGGAGAGATTGGAAGACAGCTTGGGAAGCTGGTCGAATGCATTATTTGCCGTGGCCATCTTGTCTTTCCAAACCCCCAGACCTGCCAGAACGGTTGAGTGATCAAGTTTGCCCATCTTTCCGTGCTCTTCAATGATCACAGAGCCAGCTTCTATGATTCCTGGCAACCATCTAAAAGCATATTGCACTCCTCTGGTAGCATTCTGTGGCCCAATTTTCTGTTTCTTCAAAGCATAAGAGTCTGGTGCCCACGAGTTATACATAATTTCAATTGTCGTGTCAAGCTTTTGGAGATCAGTGAAAATAGTTGCGAGGATTCCCCTCTGCTTAAGGATGACGAAAATCATGCTCTCTAGGTAACCAATGCTCCGAGCAACTTCGCCGTGACTGAGGTCTTCAGAGTGATTTCGAGATCGTTCCTTAATCCCAGGAACGATGCGCAAGACCTGATGAAAGTGGAACTCTGCACTAGCTATTTGGTGATGAGATTGCGATGCAATGGCCGGAGTCCTTGTTAGTACAACAGATAGCGAAGATTGTTTGGTCAACGCATCAGCGCTCAGATTAGATCGAAAACCCATGTGACGCAAGGCTTTTAATGTCTCCGCATATAGCTTACGTTTTCGGGTTTTGAGATGCTTGATGGCTTCGCCGTTTTCTTCTGTAACTTTGGACGGTGTCTCCTTCTGCAAACTCTTGATACTGTTGATCAGGTCGGTCCCGAAGCTGTGCAGATACGATGCGCCGTCGATCGCCGAGGGAGACAGCTGACTCATTTGAAACATACGCTGAGCTGTCGAGGTGGGGTTTATGAGTCTCTCAGGCTTCAATTCCCAGCTGTCGAGATGAGATTTGCAGGTCTGTATGGCACGTGGATCCACTTTGGTCACTTCGGGAGTGTTATCTTTTCGCTTTGATGGTGCAGGCACGTCGTTTTCACTCGAAAATTCTTGGTTAACAAAGGTCTCAGCAGACTGGGCCAACAAGCTCCGATACTTGCGGATCACTTTAAAAAGCCTGTGGTGGGATCGCTTCGCGCTATCCCTCAATGCGTTGATATTGGTATCCTTCCAGCTGGCAAGCAGCAAAATCTCCTTCATGTCTTTCTCCAGCTTTTGCCGGCCGTTGTGCAGGTATTCTTGAATAGGACTTTCAAAGCGAGCGTAGTAGCTCAGAAAGTTGGAAATAGCGCTGTGTACCACACCGATCGATGGAACTTCTTTTGC